AGAAAACAACTAGCAAAATGGTAGATTTAAACACAGCCACATTTATAATTCCATTAAATGTAAGTGAGCTAAACTCTCATTGAACTGCAGAAATTGTCAGACTGTTTTGAAAAAAGTTTCAACCATACTTTGTCTAGAGAAAACACTTAAAATATAAAGAGACAGGTTAAAAAAAAGGAAAATGATGTACATACAATCACTAATTATGAGAAAATGTAAGGAGCAGTATTGATTTCAAAGAAGACTTGAGGACAAGGACTATTACCAGAGACAAAGTAGACACCACAGTCTTAAGTGTAGACATCCAATTACAGAGCAATTACATTAACCAAAGACTGACCAAACCTAAATGAGAAATAGACAAATTCACAAGACAAATCTGCAGTTACGGTTAGCAATTAACACTCCTCCCTCTGTTTCATAGAATAAGCAGACAGAAAATCAGTAGAGATAAAAAGACTTGAACGATATTATCAATTAACTTGACATACTGGCAATTATAGAATACCAGCGGGATACACATTCTTTTTTAGCATATGCAGGATATTCACCAAAGATAGACCGTATGCTGGACTACAGATCAAATCTTCAAGACAGGTAATATTCTTTTTTTTTAAGATTTTATTTATTGATTTGACAGAGACAGAGAGAGCACAAGCAGAAGGAGAGGGAGAAGCAGGCTCCCCACTGAGCAGGGAGCCTGATGCAGGGCTTGATCCCAGGACCCTGGGATCATGACCTGAGCTGAAGGCAGACACTTATCCAACTGAGCCACCCAGGCGCCCCAACACAGGTCATATTCTGAACCAAAAAGAAATCTCAACAAACTTAAAATTATTGAATCATACAGAGTATATCTCCGACCATGAGAGAAACCAGAAATTGGCAAGAGAGAAAGAAAAGAAAGAAAAGAAATGAAAAGAAAAGGAAAGAAAAGAAAAAGTGATAGACATAGATATTTGGAAAGAAAGTAGGTAACACACCTCCAAATAACCTATGGTTCAAAGAAAAAAATCACATGGAAAATTAGAAAATATTTTAACTGAATGAAAATGAAAATAAAATGTATCAAAATGTGTGAGACAGCTAAAACCGTGCTCAGAGAGAAATGTGTAGCTTTAAGTGTTTTTATTTAAAAAGAAAGGTCTAAAATCAAAGATCTAAGCTTCTATTTTAAGACAAGCAAACTAAACATATAAATAGAAGAAATGGAGATAAAAAGTCAATAAAATATAAATCATACAAACATTAGAGAAAATTGATGGGAGTATATTCTGGCTCTTTAAAAGAGCCAGTCTTCCAATTAGACTGATGAGACAAAAGACATAAGTTACCAATGTCTTACATGAAAGGAGAGATATTACTACCCATTATAAAGATATTAAAAGAATAATAAAATAACATTACAAATTATTATAATAAGTATGACAATTTAGATGTGATAGAAAAGTTCTTTGATACAAATTACCAAAAGTGAAACAAAAAAAAATCCTGAGCCATACAATAAAAATTGATAAATTGATTTCATCAAAATTAATAACTTTAACTGTTCAAAGGACACTGTTAAGAAAAGGAACAAGCAAGTGACAGACTAGAAGAAAATATTCTCAATACTTAGATCTAAAAAAAAAAAAGACTTGTGTCCAGAATATATAATTTCTTACAATTCTATAATAAAAGACAACTTGATTAAAAAAATGAGCAAAAGATTTAAGTAGACATTTCAAGATATATGAATGGCCAATAAGTACAGGAAAAGATGTCATTAGTCATCAGGAAATGCAAATGAAAACTCAAGTTAGATATTACATGCCCACTACAAGGTTAAAATCAAAGACTGGTAATACCAGCTGTTGAGTCGGAAACAATTGACATTATTATAATTGCTGGAGGGAGTATAAATTGACACAAGCTTGAGAAACAGTCTAGCAATTTCTTATAAAGTTATACATACCACACATTTCCACTCCTAGGTGTTTAAAGGGAAATGGAAATATGTGCCCACACAAAGACTTGTACACAGATGTTCATGGCAGTTTTATTCATGATAGCCAAAACCTAGAAACAGTGGAATTTCTGTCAACAGAAGAGATAAGCTGGTAGAGCCAAGCAATGCAAACCAGAGTGAAAAAAAAGAACAAATTATTGATACACACAACAGAATTAATTTCAAAGACATGTTGAATAAAAGAATCAGACACAAATGAATATATACATTATGATTCCATTTATATGAAAACCTAGGGAATGCAAACTATTCTGTCATGACATACATTGGAGCTCAGTGGTTGTCTAGGTTCTAAAGTGAGTGTGTAGGCAGCCAACAAACACAAGGGAATCTTTTGGGGTGATGGAAATGTTCCATATCTTGACTGTGTTTGTAGCAGTGTATATGTTTGTCAAAATTAATTGATCTGTACAATTAAGACAGATTTATTTTATTACTTGTAATTACATGCTTAAAACATCTAATTTTTTAAGTTAAAACTTTTTAAAAGTTTGTGTAATAGGTAGAAAACAAGTGTATTGGGGCGCCTGGGTGGCTCAGTTGGTTAAGTGACTGCCTTTGGCTCAGGTCATGATCCTGGAGTCCTGGGATCGAGTCCCGCATCGGGCTCCCTGCTCAGCAGTGAGTCTGCTTCTCCCTCTGACCCTGCCCTCTCTCATGCTCTCTCTATCTCATTCTCTCTCTCAAATAAATAAATAAAATCTTTAAAAAAAAAAGAAAACAAGTGTATTTGTTCTGTAGGCACATTTCAGCTAATGCCTAATGACTAACTAAATTCATTAGTTTGGTTAGCATATCAGATTTTGGGGGTGGTGTTCTAAAAGAAGTTTTAGGATATACCTGCTTTATTTCTATAATATCTAAACCTAAAACAAACCATTTGATGAAATTAGAACTCCCTATTGAGGAAAGCTCCCTATTGAGTTGAGTAGAGAAATGTCCTTATATAGTCTGCCATCTTGCTTTTGACTCATATTTTATGCCAATCGATGGGCATTAACTAAGTGATATATAAAGAATATGATTGTGTTGTGCTACTCTCTTGCTTACAGCTTTTAGCTCCAGTTGCTCCTAAAAAATTAGAAAAAATAATTCATGCATTCATTATAATTTAAAAAACCATCACATAGAATTACCTAAGAGAAATACATGTTATTCATGTATTCAACTATATGCTTATAATCTAGACTTTGCTATCTTGTCAACAAGTGGAAATGCCTGTTTATGATCCAAACTAATGTTTTGTTTCATTTTTATGGCAGTATGGAGATAAAACCACAATATGGAAATGAAACAAAATAAATAATTACTCTCCTCCAAGTAATTATGTGGTCTAGGTAAAATAACTGGCATTGATTATGTGCCCTCTGATTAAATCAAGTGAACTTAATCTGTACTAACTAAACTACTTCCTGAAAAAATGATAGATACTTTGGAGATATAACAGCATGCATAAATATTTCCAACACTACAATTAGGAAGAGTAAAATACATTTTTCACGTGAATTTCCTTGAATCACAAGAATCGGTTTCGGGCAAGTATTGCTAACTCTCTTCTTAATCAACTATTCATTTACTCAGATTAGGCTCAAGTCTTTTTGCTGTGGAAGATCCAACCAAAACAGCTTATCTATCTTACTGAGAATTATTGTCTTTCACACATCCCAATTCAGGCTCACTAGAGATCTCCCCAACTCTCATCCCCTTAAATAGAGAAAAACAAGGGACCACTCCTTTCTCTGTGACATCCTCTTACTTGGGATATATATGGTAAACAAGGACCATACTAACCAAGAGACAAAGGTAAGATGGAAAAGAAAGCAAATGACCAAGAAGATAAGTTGTTTTAAAATGCTTAACCTGAATCTGGCCAAAATCTACTTCAAAAATGATTAAGTGGTTTATAGAAGTAACAGTTTGTAAAGTTGGGGGGGGGCTCCTGGATTTGTTGGTTGAATTCAGTTGAATCAAACACTTTAAACTGTTCATTTTTTACCACCTGCTCGGGATAGAGCAGTTCCAGTGTCTTAAACATTCACTACCTTCTCTCTATGGTTTTGACACATGCCCAAAGATCAAAATACAGACCATGTATCATGATTTGACTTTCTGTACAGAATATAGCACTTTTTTAGAATTACTAGAAACTGAATACAAATATAAAAGGAAAGAGAAGATACTCAAAAAAACTTATGTTAAGTCATAAAGATTAAGCCAGGAACCACTTAAAAGGGTACGCAACCTAAGTACGGAAATGTATAGCAAGAATTGTTATAGCAGTTTCTTTCTTCTCACAGATGAAAGAAAAATGTGTATCCTGTTTTTTTTCTACAAAAATAAAATTCTATCCTCATATTCGAAGTCAGGGGTATCTATTTTTCATCTAGAAATACTGTAGAAATACTGTAAAAATGAATTCTAATAGATTAAAAAATTGTATACAAATAAATACTCTAAGGAAATTATGAGTTCCTTAGAACAATCTATCATTCTTTAGCAAAACCAAAGTATTCAAAATAATCTTAAGATTTATAACAGATTTTTAATATTAATAGGCTAGGTTTGAGGCTGAGAGGCAGAGATGTCACAATTTAAAAATTTAAAAATTGACCTTTTAACTCCAGTTCCAGAAAACATATCTGTGGTAACCCTATGACATACATCCTTATTATATTACAAAGAAAACGTTTATTCTAGAGGCATTTTTATCTCTAATCGATACTCCAGATCATAGGCTGATAGTGTAAACAATCTGAGTTTATATTTTAATTTAGAATCCATGGTGAATTAGGAGATTTTTCTTCTCCAGATTTGTCATCAAAACTATAAAGTTTACAGCAATATTGGCTTATTTTTTTTCCCTGTGGGCCAGTGGTAAATACTTACAACTGGATTGAGATAATAAAAACATCTACATACTTGAGGTTCTCACAAGATGTAATAAAGCCAAAGTGCAGTCTTCCCCCATAACTTTGTTTTTTATCCAATCCAGCACTAATGTATGCAAGCATTTTTGGGAATGTATCTGCAATTATCCAAAGACTATACTCGGGAACTGCCAGGTACCACATGCAGATGCTTCGAGTAAAAGAGTTCATCCGCTTTCACCAAATTCCCAACCCTCTGAGGCAACGGCTTGAAGAATATTTCCAGCACGCATGGACATACACCAATGGCATTGACATGAACATGGTATGTATTCCTGTTTTCCAAAATGGAAGTACCTCAGGCATTATAGCTACAGTCCAATGGGAAAACCAGTCTCACCAGCTTTGAACCCCTTGCTTTTGTTTTCCTCTCGGATGTTTATTTTCTCCCCTGGAGATAGTCTCTCATTCTCAATTCATGGCATTGCATGGTGCTATATCTAGTTATATTGTGTGGCAAAGGCATTATAACATGATGCAAACTGATATAACTGTGTGTAGTAAATTCCCACTTCCAGTTAGAGAGAATATTGCTAACATAGGATTTGGGCTTTTACCACATGTCCTAGCTGCCAGCACCCCAAAAAATAGTTGGACCCGTGTGCATTAAGATTTGACAGGTAAACAATAACAACCACTATGATATCCCCAAACAGAAATCCAAAGTTAACATTCCTTAAAAAAAAAAAAATAGAAAAATAGGACACTGAAGATTTGTAGGAGAGGTTAGGGAGCTTAAGCATGCTGTAAACATTCTATCATAGGAAGTTTCATGTTTCTGTTAAGGACAAATTTTTCTATATTTACAACAATTAACTATGTGCCCTTTTACTGTACCTGGTTTAATGCATCTTTCCTTTCAAAGGGGAAATGTGGAATTCTTCATAACTTTTAAGCAAATTCGACATCAACAATCACTTTTCATAATTCTTCCCACCTCTATCAATTCTTTAAAAATCAACCTAATTAATAACATGACCATGGTCTAAAGAGCACTTTTTATTATTAGGTGAATTGAACACATTCTTTTCACCTGTTTGGCTATAGAGACTGATTCTTGAAGATAAATTATGTGACACATCCAAATTCTGTGGCATATCACAGACCTATTAAGAAAGATTAAAAATATGATGCTCTCCCATCTATCAACTCCTCCACCGGGCAAAGGCCCTGTTTCTAAGCATTCATCAGAAAATAAAACTACTCACATTTAATGACATGAACAGCATAATATAATTTTTGCATAAGTGAGCCAATCCAATTTAGATTGACATTTTTATATTTGACCCATAATATTTTAATAAAAAAGCAAAGGTTCAAAATTAGAAGTCAAAGGACAGAAAGCAATGCAAATATTGCCCAATTTGAAAGCCATATAAGGATGTTTATCAAAGCTGTGTGTGATTTATTGGACTGAGAAGTAAGGACATGCCATTATAAAAATTTTAATTTGAAAAGCACATTTCATATAAAAGCATAACTGAAATCCATGTGTTATTTCTAATTATCCCAAAGTTATTGTGAAAATTCATTTGATAAATTGCTATCACTAAGATAACACTTTAATCTCGTAAGAAAGCACCTACAAATGGATCATTATATGTATTTCCATCTGTATTATTGTTGAACAAAGATATCAGCATTCAGAAACTATTGGGGATTCTCTAATGCTGGGTTGGCTGAAGCAGTGTCAAGAATTTTTAATCAAAACACGTGTCACTCAATTTTGTTGTTCCATACTGCCAGATTATTTCAATAACATTAATCAACAATTATTTATTGTACATCCCCTCTCCATATAACTAGTTTTGTGACCATTTTTGTGATAAAGTCTATTTTTTGACAACTATTTACCTTTCATTGTTTGACTCTATTACCTATGAATATGGTTTATATACCACTTGCCTATTTACAATGTACTTATGAAAGATTTATCTCTTTCCTGTCTGCTTCACACCTTAATACATGGAATCACAACACCCACCGGTAAGAACAGGAGGTATTTATATCCAATTTAATTCTCGTGTAAATTGTGGAGAACACCCTTGTTATCTGTCAGGTTTAGAGCTTGTTAAGTGATTTCCAATGTTAGTTCTGATCTTTATTGCATGATGTAGCAGAGGAAATACAAAACAAGGAACTGGGGAAGATAAACTGGAAGAGGCCAAGTACAGAACAGAAATCCTTAACTTTAACAACAACTTGACCTCTAGTAATATTTATATACAGTCTCCCCCTCCCCACAAAGAGGCACTTATCTGCTCCTTCCTCCAATCTGGTAAAGGTTCTGGGTATACGGTTTGCATTAGATAATTGTCATAAAGAAAATGTCATTCTCTTTCATCATCCTCTATTTTCATGATGTAGGTGCTTTTCTTTCCTCCCATCTGCATGCCTGTATTACATGATCCTGGAGTGTGTGAGCTCTAAACCATGTGCCACTGAGTCTTGCATGTGGTTTTGAGAGCTTGACTTTGCACGAACTTCTTGTTTGTACACAGTGTCTACATTTCTCATCTTGTGACTACAAAGTGAGTAAAAAATCAAAGTGCAAGATAACTGAAAACTCAGCAAATGGAAGATGCTTGTTTATTAAGCACAATGTATGAAACAAAGAGAAAAGCAACTGTACTCTTAGACTATTGAGAGATTTAAAAAAAAAAGAAGAAGAAATCAAAGTGGATTTTTTTACCTCCCAAACCACATTGTTATAATCCCTGTGTCTTATTAATTTATTGTTAACTAAATAATAATGTAGTAATAATTTAAGGTGATTTAAATTTATTTGTTGTGATACATAAAAGTACATCAAACTGTTGTATTTTACATCAGCATTTCATATTATTTTGTTTAAGTATAACCTTAAATATAATTTCTCATGAAACATTTCAGGTCATTTTTCTTTTACTGTTCAACCATATCAAAATTGGGCACAAGTTTTCCAATCACACTGTATTAATTGACTCAAAATTATTTTTCATAACCCCAAACATTTGATTCCTTGATAGATCTCAAAACATAGAAAAGAATCTACCTAAAATGTGCAACCATATTTCTTATTTCCTGGATCTTTTGCTTTTTTTGAAATAGCCATTGCCAGAATGGTCCAGAACCAAAAACATTCAGGGGACATTTATGGACTCCCTTTCAATGGAACAAAATGGTTCAGAATACAAAAGGAAAAGGGTCAGGAGAATGAAGTTAGAGAAAGGAAAGTGTTCTTTTGTGTCTGATGTCAGGCTTAAGAAGAGTGAATATTGTCTAAAAAATATCTATAGGTCAATTCTGGTAAATTGTTCCCTTCTTCTCCTCCAAATTTGACTAATTAGGGGAAGAGGAGATACTTTCTCAGATTAAGACTGAAGGTATCTCAAGAAATTTCCTCCAATCAAAGCTGTCTTCTGACCCAGTCTGAAACTTTCTGACATTTTCCAACATTGATTTTAGTTACAACATGGGCAGGAACTGAAAATCATCTTCCATGTCAGTGTAGAGGCAAGTTTCTTCATATCACATACAAGAGCCTGGCTTGAATAAAGAAGAATCCCAATAACCATGCTCTATACATTGTTTCAGATGGAGAGAGATAAATCATTTATGACAGAAACTACTTCAGAATTTAAAAATATATCGACATGGAAGAAAAAATTTTATGAACACTAGTGAAGAATTTTATTTCTTACCTTAAAAATGTCCCACTAATAATGCCTAATAATATAAAATAAATTAGGAATAGGAATTCAGAAGACCTAAACATTAGCTCTTCAATTTGCCACTAATCTTGGACAAGTCACTTAACCTCTCTGCAATTTCATTACACTTGTCATTGTCAAATGTGTTTAAAGCACCAGAATTCAAATATGCTAAATGTATAGAACAATTATTATGGGAGTTTTTCCGCTTGAGGATGGAGATTCTAACCTATTTGCTGCCTGTTCTTTTGCTTTCTGAGCAGGCATCTAGTTTTCTTTGATGATGAATTGTTGATGGCAGAGAACAGAAGGGGATCACTTCCTGTAAAAACTAGCACAGGAATAGAGGATCATATGTGGGGAAGCACAAGGAAGAATTAAGGCAGGTAGTCCAGAAACAACTTTGTTTAATTTATTTTAGGAAGAAAAGGAAAACTGACATTTTTTTTTATCCTGAGGCATTAGTGTAGAAAATTTTGAAAAGCAGATATAGAAAGGAATTGGAATAAGAACCTAGGAAGAGGGATGAATGTTTCAGCAGGGTAGATAGACAAGTTTTCCTTAAAGACAGGCAAGAATGAAAAGAGAAAGGGTAAAGGCACTGGCTTTGAGGAGTAAAGGAGAAAACTCAATGGACTAGCACTACATGGTCCAGTCTTCTTAGTTAAGCAGAGAGTAGATTAAGTCCTCAGAAGGGAGGAGGTATAAAATAAGAGAAGAGTTAAAGAGGGGGAGAATTTTTATAGATTTCAATCAAAAGTCAACCTCATAGGCTAAAAATGCTTAGAACCACGGTGGGATTCTCAGTGACAAAGCATTCATTTATAATGCCCCCAACAAACAAAGCCAATCAAAATGGAAATGAAATTAATAAACAATGGCATATTGTTTAATAGAAATTCTTACTCTTTGGAGTTGATGTGATGTCTAAGAAGCATCTTAGTGAAAATCTGATTTCCTTTCCTTCCAAGTCTCTTTCACAGCTCCTCTGCTACCCGTCAGAGTACCCTTTGCTAACTCTACTGACCTTAACTACTAGCTACTAACTACCTACTACTACTACTACTTACTACTAGCTACTATCTACTTAAATACTAACTACTAACATTGATTATATCTGCATTCTCAATCTAACTCTATGCCAATGAAAATTTTGTTGTACCCAGTCTCTACACTTACCGAAATGACTTCATCTATGCCAGACCTTTATATTCAAATCTCCTCCACTCACAGACTGTTTTGATACACCATAGTGAAAGGCAATGATGAGTTCTTTCAGTCAACAACTCATATAAAAACAATCATTGTGACATTAAACCTCATTGGAAATGTAAAGCAAAATATGCAAAATAGCATGTCTTGGCTTCACCATATTGTTTTTATCCCTCCTTAACTTTTCCTAATGATCCTTTATATAGTGAGGTTGATAAATAGAGTCAATGAAAAACCTTTGATTTGTTAGTCATAAAGCTTAATAAAATGATTAAAAATATGGTGCCCACATATTTGTTCCTCTAGTGTCAAGGATTCTGTTTCTAAGAATTCTTCAGAAAATAAAATCAGTTACATTGAA